GGGGGGGGGGTCCTGTCAAAGATTTAGAGCATGGAAGGAACAGGAGTGTTATTCAAGATATAAATAGAACTCTTCAAACATGATGTGTCAACTAATTTTGACACTGATTGTACAAGCCTAGATTAAATTTCTTTATATAGAGTTTGATATAAACAGCTTATGTATTTGATGAGTGTCTAATTAACATATAGATTCCAAGTTGCCGTGCGTCTGTTCAGTAATAGATCACAGATGACGTCAAAATGTGGTAAAAACAAAAAAGTGGCACATGAAGCACAACCGAGTCGCTCTGACAAAGGGCTAACGCTCGAAACGTCAGCTTTTTTACCCTTTACAGTGGCTAATTTACGTTTTCAACCCAGTTGTTAACACTAAATTACCTGCTATACTCTCCCACCGACGCAGCACCACAGTTTCTTTAGAAACTTACCCCTTTATTCGAGTGTGTCTCTGATGTTCTTACCACATTTTGACATTCTCTGTGATCTATTGCTGAACAGACGCACGGTAACTTGGAATCTATTTGTTTTATATAATAAACAATTTAAAAAAAGTTTTAATGATGACATCATTTATATATCTGTCCTCCAATAGATCATAAGTGAGAACCAATCAGAATGCTTGCATAACTGAGCTTATTAATATATAATGTTTGATTATTAATCTAATGCTTCTATTGACAACTAGAAACTTGTGTGTTTACCAGGAGCTTGCTGGCTTACTGCCGAGAAACAAACAGTTTTCACCATTATGACTCATCCAGTTCATTTAATACTTCAGCTGCTAGATCTCTCGCACAAAATGTGGAACCTTTTTTACACTGTAGATGTAAGTGTTATTTTGATCACTTCAGACTACGCTCAACTATCTTCATAGATTTTCTCCTCCCACTTATGCACAATGTTTCTCTGTTCATTTAATACTTCAGCTGCTAGATCTCTCACACAAAATGTGGAACCTTTTTTACACTGTAGATGTAAGTGTTATTTTGATCACTTTAGACTACACTCAACTCTCTGTCATAGACTTTCTCCTCCCACTTATGCACAGTGTTTTTCTGTTTGTTTTTTTAAACAGCAGGACAAAACCCAAGCTTCAAGGATGACAGATGCCCTCAACAACAAAATGGTTGTGTTTTGATGTAACACCATTTTTCATTTAGCCTCTGAACAATTAAGAGTTAAAATTAGTAATGACCTCAATACCGGTTAATTGAACTCTCCCCATGATGCATAGGCATGTCAAACCTCCACTTTTTTCCTAGAGGATAGTGCAAAAATTTTACATAACCTCTCTACAGGATGGTAATCTATTTCTATGCAGTTTGTCACGAATCCCTGACAGTTTGTGGTACCCTTTATTACTCGTTAGTGGATTAGGTCACTGTTGAAGGGATAAGGTTTGGCTCAAAACTCAACATTATGACTTGGCCAGGGCTCAATCATGGAGTTCTCATTCCAAATTCTAGCTTGCTAATCTCCAAGCCATTGTGTTTCTCTCTGTTAACCCTTAACACCACAACATCAGTATGCATATTCTCCATACTGTTTTCTGACAGCAATAATTTGTGTAACAATCAAGTGCTTCTTTAGTTGGTTGTCATTTCTTCAACCCTTTAAACCCCAAGAGCAACTAGCATCTAATTTCTCCCTACAATATTACCCCTGAATCACATATTGAGGTTGTGAGAATAACGGAGATGATCACCAATGAAAGAAGCTTTTGATTGGTAGGCAAATTCTCCTTGTCAGCACCTTAGGAAATGTATAAAGAACAGTATGGAGAATATGCATACTGATGTTAGGGTGTAAAGGGTTAATTAATCCCTATGACCCTGTTTGAAATTAGCTCTGAGTCATCCTTAGGGTTTGAAACTTTCTAATGTGGCTTCATATTTCAACAGGTTATGACTGTGGTCTATATGTGGTTTGCATCACTGAACAACTCTGCACCAACTTTATGAACAATGTGAAAATATCTCTGAGTGATACCTTAACTCCAGAAGACATTAGGAAGAAAAGAAAAGCATTGAAGGAACTTGTGCTCAGTCTTGGAGAGAAGAAGACATGATTCTGAAATTTGCAGCAAGGAAATTTAGTGTAGCTTTCCAATGGAAGTATTTAGCTTCAAAGTGATGATAAAATACCACCCACAAAATGGAAATCACCTCTGAAAAAAGCAGAACATATAATTAATTATACACTCGTAAGATAGTGGAGGTCTTTCAGCAACACAAACTTTAGATTTCTCAAGATTCCTCCAAATGCAGTTTGCATCCTGTTGGCTTATTACCATATCTCAAATACATTTTGCTAGTAATTTTTCATGGGAATTTGAGATAGCAGGCATCTTGGGTTAGGGAAGGAGAGGTTAGTTAGTCAGTTTTTAGGTGAAGGAGTGCTGTGATGACTTGTAAAAACTCTGACTCTGTTTGGAACCAAGAACATGGAGAGAGACAAAAATAAATAAGTACCCTGTGTGGGACAAAGCCCTCTGTTTTTTAACCTTGTTCAGGTCAAGGGCAGAAAGTGTCTTTTAAGCATTGTAAATATGAATTGTAATTCATACTTCCTGAAATGTTTCTGGTCTGAACAAGCTATACACTATCTATGACCAGTTCTTGTCAAAAGAAATATACCTCTTCTTCGACCAAAGGCATAGAATGCATACTTTGTTGAGCCCCTGACTCGTAACCCTTTCACTCTTAAGATCTCATTAGTAATTCACCTTACACTCTGCCGTACAATTCTTATGATGTTGGTGGGGAGAATTTGGTATCAGGTCAACTGATAATCACCTAATTGATATTTTTCTTTCTCATCACTTGTCTGCTTGATATTGTAAGGAGAAATTCTGTCTTGATCACTCAGCCTTTAAGTGTCAAGTAACTCTTGAAAGGATACCTCCTTTCTCAGGGTACTGCTCTCTTTTCTTAGTTATCTCAGCAGGAGGTCTGTCAATTCTCCATAAGTTCTTTGTACAAAGTCTGTCACATGGAAGTTTACTTCCAAGAGTTTGGCATCAAGGCTCATTTTGATTTGATTTTCTGATTAAAAGCATGGTGCTGACAGATAGTTGGGTGGTTAGTTTTGTTGACAAAAAATATCCTGATGGGAAGTCAAATGCTATAAAATTTCTATGAGCAAGAATTCACATGTTCACTGAAACAAAGTTTTTCAGCATACATTTGAAAATAACTTTTGTGGAATTGAGGTGTTGCAGCAAAGGCCTTTCTTCTGTTTTAAATATTGTTTTTGTGAATAATTTTCTCATGGAAATACCTCAGACTTCTGTTAAAAATATATGTATTTAAAAAAATTAAACAAACAAAGTACTCTACCATTTAATGTGGACGGAATAAACCAAATTACGCAACTAACTAACAAATCGAGAGGGCTTGAGAACTAGAATGTATCCTGTTTTCGCAGTCACTTCTTACTTCCGGTGAATCTTAGAGTCACGTGAATCGGTAGGAATGGCGTTCGTAGTTAGGTCTAGGTCTATTTAGGGAAATACAGTTTTTAACAATGTCAGAACTACTTTTTAAGGTGATCATAATAGGTGATGCTACCGTAGGAAAAACAAGCTTTGTCAAACGTTATGTAAATAACCATTCAGGACCAGGACGGGAGTATAAACCAACTGTAGGAGGTAGGTTGTGCTTGATCACGTCTTCAATTTTTCTGGGAATTTTTTATTTTCTTAGACGAGCCGGATTTATTAATTGTCTGTCAAAAACTTCTATGATAGCTTTAAACTGAGATTGTCTTGCCCTTCTTTGGTGCGCTTAAATAAGGACTTAAGTCGGTCAAAGTACAGCAAACATTTCTAAGTTGTACATTTGACATGTCTTGAATTGAAGAACAAAAAATTCCCTCACGAAACTTCTTTGAGGTATTGTGTGCATTTCGGTGGAGGGGTCATTTGGTCATTTCCTGTTATGCGTTAACTGGAGAGATGTTGATTTTCCAGGCTATTAATAATAGAAAGAGTCCGAATTTTTCGAGTTGAGCTATTGATGTCATGGAAAACGTTTAGTTGGTGGTTGGGGTGGTCTCGCGATGATGGCACCACAATTTTTATTGGTACCAAGATGTTTCTGTATTTGTTTTTCTGTGTTTATAACCCATGATACACAGTGTTTAAATATACCATAAAAAGGCAGTGTTCCTTGTCATGCGAAGTGGAAGGGGTACCTTTTTGGTCCTAAATAAAGTTTCTCCACGGAGAACAAGCACTTATTACACACTTCCGAGTTAAATCTGTAATCTCCGCCAAATATTTTTGTTATCTTTTATGTATCTTTGTTGCAGTTGATTTTGCTTTGAAAGTCATCAAATATTCAGATGATACTACAATACGACTTCAGGTGGGTAGTATTTTTATAATTAGCAACAAATTATCCAACTGATAATTTTTTAAATATTTACAAATTTAACCCTTTAACTTCTAAGATTACATTAGTAATTCTCCTTACTGTCTGCCATACAATTCATATGATATTAGTTAGGAGAATTTGGAATTGGATCAGCCAATAATCCCTCAATTGGTAATTTTCTTTATTCTCACTACTTGTCTGCTTGATATTAAACTGATAGTGTAAGGAGAAATTCTGTCTTGGTCACTAGTGGGACTTAAAGGGTTAATAAAGATAGTTTAAAATAATTTCGATTTTTTTCTGATTTTTTCAGACTCACACAATAGGCCTTGCCAAAAAGGAGGCACTGCTCCTAATCTATTTTGTTTTTAAGTACATTTTGCACTTCATTTTGCTTTATTCCACACTAATTTTCCCCTTTTTTTGTTTCCAAAATTTGAATGATTCATGAATGTGAATCCTTACATGGTTATACAGTTGTGGGATATTGCTGGTAAGTTGACAATTTTTTTTCCACATTTTAACTAGAAGAAAGTGAACTTTTGAGCAGAGGATAATTTACTTAACTTTTTACCTCCAAGATTTAATTATCAATTTCACATCATCTGCCATACTTTTAGCAGTCAGTAAGAGAAGTACCCTTCACCATCTCGCCTCTCACCTCTCTCTATATCCCTTTATCCCTCCCCCATGAGTTAACCTATACACCTCACCCCTGCCCTGCCCTGCCTTGCCCTGCCCTGCCCCTTTCTCGATCTGTCAGTCATGCAGGTTTTGTAAGGGTCTCCACATGTAAAAAACAGGTATTTGTCAACTCTTATTTGACATAAACTGTTTACCCTCTACACCCTAACATCAGTATGCATATTCTCCACACTTTTCTTAATATATTTCTTAAGGTGTACACAAGGAGAAAATGTTTCAACAGTTAAGGGCTATTTAATTGTTGATCATTTCCTTTATTCTCCTGACCTTAATGTGTGATTCAGGGGTGATATTGTAAGGAGAAATTAGATGCAAGTCTCAATTAAGGGTCAATGATTGAAAACTAATTATTATTCTGACTTAATGAACATCAACAATTTTCAGGGCAGGAAAGATTTTCAACGATGACAAGAGTCTACTACAAGGGAGCTGCAGCTTGTGTCATAATGTTTGATCTGACCAGTCAACAGACATTTAATAGTACAATAAAATGGAAGAGAGACCTGGATAGCAAATGTACTCTTCCTAATGGAAAGACAATCCCATGTATATTAGTAGGAAATAAGGTGAGTTATAAGCTAATCAACACAATCAATTTAGGAAATAGATCCCATTTTGCCACGCATCTTTTCAGTAATGTGGTGAGAACAAAGTGTGGGACACAAGGCACAAGTGACTGTCTTACTAACTAGTGATATGCTAGAGTAATACCATGTCATCTTGCTGTAAGAGGTTATCCAGTTGTAATATTTGTCTTCACTAGGGCCTGACGTGAAAGCTCAATACCAGCTCCATTATGATTTTTAGATATGGTTATTCCTGCTTTCAGTCGACATCTCTTTGGTTAAATTCTATAATTCAAATTTCACCATTTTTCTTTTCATTTAATCTTCAGAGTGATTTATCAAGCACAAGACCCATTGAGAAAGAAGCAATTGACAACTTATGTAAAGAAAATGGCTTCTTGGGTTGGACAGAGATGTCAGTCAAAGAAGATGTCAATGTATCAGAGACAATGGAGTAAGAAAGATCTTGCCTTTTTTTTTTTTTTTTCATCTTCTATGTTAAAATCTTCTTGCCTTCAATGCATCTTGGCATGGATACTTCCTAGATAAACCACTCAGCTGATATATGAGTGTTGTCAATGGGAGGGGAGAGATGGGGGGTTCTGATCCTGATTCACGCATGAATGTTAAGCTTAGATAAAATGTAAATGTTACATCTATTTTTGAAATTTCATCTCACAACTTTAAAGGGAAAACTTCAAATCTCACCTTACCTTGCCTTATTGAAAAATTAATGTGCCAGAAATTAATTTTGGACTCAATCGTGCTTCGCCTTGCATGTTTATTCCATCTTCTCACTGGATAAGAGATTGATGATTTGAGGAGATGTTACAAGTTTTCACTTCAGGTACAGTGTAGTGAAGGGGTCATGTAACCATTAATTTCTACTTGAATTATTTTTCCAGTTACTTATTAGCAGAACTGTTAGACAGCTATAAAAACAATGAAGAAAAAGTTGCTCAGAACAACACCAGTACTGATCAAGGAGGATTTATTGAACTCACAAGTCACAGGATCACTAAAGAAAATGCCAGCAGATCAGGATGTTGTTAAGTTAGCTCATAAAAAATAGAATAACTGATCAAGATTTCTGTTTGATTTTTTAACTGGTTATAGTGAATTCATCCCTCCTTGTACCATGTGGGAGAATTTTATAGAGTGATATATCAAGGGTAGCCTGACTGTATATCAAGCATATTTTTTTAAAAGTGAATGTTATTTTTTGAGGAAGTGTTGAAGCCACCATGTCAGAATTTTAAAAGTAAGAAATCATGGAGTGGGTGAAAAAAGTCTACTTGCTAGTGGGGAGTGGGGAGGGTGTACTAGTGAAGGGTAAAGGGGTCCAAACCCTTTCACTCCCACACTGGTTTTTTTTTCACCAGGCCTCCCTCCTTCTGCCCTTTCATCATGGGGTCATGGGAGGGGGTTGAGGAGTGTACTACTGAAGGGTAATGGGGTCCCAACCCTTCCACTCCCACACTGGTTTTTTTCACCAGGCCTCCCCTCTTCTGCCCTTTTATGGGGTGGTAGGGTATAATGCATATGTGTGATTATCATTTAACCATCTAAATTATATTTTTGTTACAGGAAAAAAGGTATAGAGGGTGGGAAATCATTAATTTAGTTTCAGGGAAGAGGGTTTTATAGAAAATAAAATTAATGATAATGTATATAATACAGTTTATATCAGTGTTTCAGGAAAAGTAGGCAATATGCATTTGTGCATGTTTACGCAGAGCTTACATTTAATAATGTTTGCAATGATCTTGATTTGCTAACCATGCACAGTCGATCATACCAACCATTAAGGAAATTTTGAGTCGTCACCAGTGCTTTCAAGCAGGCTGTATTCAATCTTTCATTCCAGGCATAAAATCATTTTCCCCTAAAATTTGTCACTAGTTTTTAAGAAGTGTCATTGTTTTGCATGATAGTGGTTTTCACTCAGCTTTGTTTTTTGAGTGCTCATTAAATACTATAGCATGTAAAATCTACACAGTCTGCTTGCTGAATACAATTACATCACAAGGTTGATTTTTTTTTTTAATTTAAATGTCTTCTATTTTATAAAAAAATGATTAAACATACAAAGTAAAAAATGAAGATATTTATATTATGGAAGAAGAATTGAACAAAGAAAGTTTATGCAGCTGATCAGTCAATTCAATGAAGTGATTTGCAGTTGTTATAAAATAATAAGGAATTGCCTAAAAATTTATTTAAAAAATTATAACTTAGGCACATGCATACAGAGATTTTCCATGTACAATTAAGATATTATTAAACGTTGTTATACAGTTTTGTCTGGGGTCTTAGATTCTTTATACATTCCTAGTTTAATATGACCTGGATTACAATGCATGTAATGTTATATTTTTCTTTATTCTCGTCACTTATCTGATTGATATTGTATTGATATTGTTAGGAGAAATTCTGCCTTGGTCACTCATGGGAGTTAGAGGGTTAAGGTGCTGATGAGAAGAATTTGTTTATCAATCAAGAGCTCCTCAAGTTGATCATTTTCTTTATTCTCATGACATTGATGTTTGATTCAGGGGTGATATTGTAAGGAGAGATTAGATCCAAGTCACTTCTAGAGGAAAGCGAGAGCATCAATACCTGTTCATCCATCTGTTTTGTGTGACCAATTTTTCATTTAAGTCAATTTGTTGGTAAATAAGATATTTGAACAGAGATCATTGGCAGAAATTATTTGAGGGCTAAAATTTAACTTGAATAGTTCCAAGATTGTTTTTCTTTAATTTTGTGCATGATCATTTCTGTAGAACATTGCAGCTAAAATACTTCTCTCTCTGATAGACCTGAGGG